TTGCAAACTGTATTCTGATTCCTGACCTAGTCCCTAGAAATGAAATTGACCAGAGTCACTAGGTGGCGCCAGCCTCATTAACAGTGAAGAGCACCAAAAGGACAATTCTGCACAATCTCTGTACATCCAAGTAACATTCCTGCTCCCTAAAGTTTTGCAGAGTAAAAAGTATTTACTTAAGTAAAGTACAGATGCCTAACATGTACATTGAGTTTACTTTGCTACATTCTACCACTGAAACACATGCATGTGTTGTGTGAATGTGTAACCTATCCACAGGTTTCACAAAGATCACATATTAGGACGTGTGCCAGAGATCAGATTTATATTCTGTCTTTTGAATAGTGGAACGTCCTCAAAATGTTTTCCTATATATATAGAATATATATATATAGAACCTTGAATACTTGATTATTGCAGCCAAAACATGTAAAAAAAACAAAACAAAAAATAAACATTGTTACTGGCTAAAAAAAATCTATTATAATATAAATAGGTATAACCTCCTAATTGTACAGACTTATATTTTCAGATAGTTTGCATAAATTGATATTTTGCTCATTGAAAGTAAATAAGTGTGGACAGAAGAAACATCTCATATTCGGCTCTTTTCTGATCTCTGTTTTAAATGTAGTTTCCTCATCACAAACAGACCTGGACATGTGTTTAGTTTCATTCACATTCACACATTCACATTCACACACAAACCTGCACATTTAGGCTGAGTTCTTGGCTCAAACAGAAAAATATCTGTTCAGTCTGAAGTGGTCCACTGTGTTTTTAAACTCCGTACATCTTCATTAGAATAAAATGGACAATTTCAGACCTGGAATTACAAATCTCTGCTAAATTAAAGGTAAAAGGAGATATTACCTTGAAACTGTTCCTACTGTTTCATGACATCACAAGGTGGAATAGAGCATTTTGACCTCTGGAGATGTACACAGGCTTACTTAAACGTGTGAATGAACCAAAACACAACTCCAAGCTTGTCTTTGATGAGGTAACAACATTATAACATGACTTTTGAAGCTCACAAGAATCCATTTTGTGTAGCTTAATGTAGACCTTGAACTTTTAACAGTGGAAAATGACATTAGAGCATGTAACCTAGTGTCATTTAAATGCATTGATCTCTATTGTTCTGGAAAGCTTCATAAAATGTAGCCTGTTAGACTAAATCGAGGGATTAGCGCGTCAGAAATAAGTGTGGAGAATCTCGTTTTGGGTTTTGGAGTTTTAAAAGGGTCGGAGTGCGTAAAGCTCACCTCTTGTACGCAGTGTTTTACAGAGAGTTAAAAGCCAAAAAAGAGCACAAAGAAAAAGGCAACGGAGGAGGAACGGGGGGGACGGCGCAGAGCCAGTGTTAACCCCGCCCCCAGACACGGCTCCTTTCGCATTCCTTATCCACAACCTCGCGCACGCCGGAGAGAGAGAAAGACAGAAACAAGACTGGCCACCGCACGGAGAAAAAGGAGAGACGAGCCGGTCACCGAACATGGCCAAAAACACGTCGCCTCGGCTTGAGATTGTAGAGTCCGATCATTGCGCGCGTCCCAAACTCTCTCGTCCTTCTCCAAAAGCATTCCGGCTATGGCGCACGACACGCTGAGGACCCCGCCGGACGAGTGAGCGAGCGGGCTTGGGGGGGAGCTACCTGGGGAGCTGTGGACAAAATGAGGGTCATTTTTATCCAGAATGCCGGTTTTGTCGCAGCTTTTTCGCCCTCCTCTCTCAGATACGAGTCGGTGATGTTTTTATCGGTAGCGGTTTGGTCGGTAGTGAATTCAAGATCACATCCGCGCATCGAGGGGTGAGATCATACCAAATTATTATTATTTTTTTATGCTTCTTTTTTTTTTTTTTTTTTTTTTTTTTTTCATTATAGACAATATTTCAGCCTTGAGTTATGAGTGGCTGCGGATTTGGGCTCTAAGCTCGGAATCTGAGGGCCTATTTTATGCCAATACGATCTTAGATTTACATAGAGCCAATATTTAAGGCTATTATTATAATGTATATGCACAGGGGAGCGATTATTACGCGATTATAACATGATTAGCTCAGAAAAGTATCGTAGTTTATCACGCTCACCAATGACACATGATCAAGACAATCTGGAAATGCGCGTAATTTCCATAATATGATAAGAAAACTACGCTATTCTTTGTAATTTATTTATTTATTACTGCTATTATTACGACTAGTTTATAGTATTATATTATCATTTAGTAGAAATATTTAACTTTGGGAAGATTAGTTATTCTTTTTTGAGATGGAGACCGCATATTTCTCGCCCCACCGGAGGGCATCGCGCTCCGAATCCCTGAAGGCTCACGCGTCCCTGGGCAGGCTGTCCCGGGTAGACCGCTCTCCTCCACCACCGCCACCTCCTCCTCCACCGGTACAGGCTGGCAGCTCACCCGAGGACACGGCGGGAGCAGCGGGCATGAGCGAGGGACGGAGGAACTCAGGCGTGAAGAAGCACCACCACAAGCACAACCTCAAACACCGCTACGAGCTGCTCGAGACGCTGGGCAGGGGCACCTACGGCAAGGTCAAGAAGGCCATCGAGAGGCATTCAGGCAGAGTGGTAAGAAGACTCACTCTGTTTAACTGGCAGTGTTGGGGAGTAACAGAGTACATGTACCGGCGTTACGTAATCAGAGTACAAATTATGAGTAACTATTCAGTTACAGTTACTGTTTCAATAAGTGGTAATTGGATTACAGTTACTTTGTTAAAATAAATGGATTACACGGCGGTATTTTCCTGTTTCCACATTTTGGGCTAAACTAGGACTAAAACCAGGACTAAAACCAGGACTAAACCAGGACTAAACCAGGACTAAACCAGGACTAAAACCAGGACTAAACCAGGACTAAACCAGGACTAAACAGGACTAAAACTAAAACCAGGACTAAACCAGGACTAAACCAGGACTAAACCAGGACTAAACCAGGACTAAACCAGGACTAAAACCCGATTAAAACAGGACTAAACCATGCTGTGCTTCTTTCTCTTCTATCAATAATATTTTTAATTTGGTTGAGTAAAGTTTGGGCTTTTTATTTCTTTTAACAGACAAAACATCTTATGTTATTATTTCCTCATCTTTGCTTCTCTACAGTAAATCCAGTAATCCAAAGTATTCAGATTACATTACTCACTTTAAGTAATTTAATGGATTCCGTTACAAACTACATTTTGGGGTGTGTAATCTGTAATCTGTAGGGGAATACATTTTAAAAGTAACACTCCCAACACTGTTAACTGTTTTATGAGCAGTGCAGTGGCTCTCGCACATTTGACCTTTGACAGTTTAGTTTACAAATGAGAACGTGTCAAGACAACACAGCACACAATATCACGAGACACACACTTCATCAATAGGTCTGGAACTAAACCATATCCAGTGTTACCAGTAGACCTGGTTTAGACCTGGTTTTAGTCCTGGTTTAGACCTGGTTTTAGACCTGGTTTAGACCTGGTTTTAGTCCTGGTTTTAGACCTGGTTTAGTTTTTTAGACCTGGTTTAGACCTGGTTTAGACCTGGTTTTAGACCTGGTTTAGACCTGGTTTTAGTCCTGGTTTAGACCTGGTTTAGATCTGGTTTTAGACCTGGTTTAGTGTCTGGAAATGAGTGGAATTACGAAAAAAAAAGGGATATAGCCCCAAAATGTAAAAACAGGAAAATACCTCTGTGTAATCCATTTAATTTCAATAAAGTAACTGTAATCCAATTACCACTCACTGAAACAGTAACTGTAACTGAATAAGAAGAATAAAAATTACTCATAATTTGTACTCTGATTACGTAACTCCGGTACATGTAATCTGTTACTCCCCAACACTGACCATAACTGCTGTTTACTGAGCCAAAAACAACTCACTGATCAGATAGGCTGCACACGCACACACACACACACACACACACACACACACACACACACACACACACACACACACACACACACACACACACACACACACACACACACACACACACACACACACACACCACACACACACACGCACGCACACGCACCCACACACACACACCATATATAAAATGCAGTTACATTAATGTTTATTCATGCATTCACGTGGACAACCATTCACACTGTGGACCCTTTTCTAGTGCTGGGTCTGACACCTGCTTGTCTCCATGGTAACTGCTTTACTTGAAATGTTCCACAATATGACATTCGATCATCAAGTGTTGCAGATGTTTTTTTTTTGTATTGCTCAGAAATAGTATATATTACATAGATGATGCCATACTGTGGAAGATTTCAGCAGAGAAGTTGCACGCACGTTTAAAAGTCACTAAATTAACAAAATTGAATGTTCCCTCCTCAAAAACACACCTGGAGTTGTGTTTTGTTTCATTTCCACATGTTTGAGTAACTCTTTATTATTATTCTGTCCACATCTCCAAAGCTCTAAAGGTGTTTGGAGGTGTATGCAGTTTAAAAACACAGTGGAGCACTTATTGTATTACCTCATGACATCACAGGGTGGAACAGAGTGTTTTCTGTTTGAGAGAAGAACTCGTGCTAAATATACAGTTTGTGTTGTGTGTAAAACATGTGCGAGTGAAACAAAACACAACTCCAGGAATGTTGTTGATGAGGAAATGACATTATAACAGATTTGTGAAAACAGGGCCTTTCAGTTCAGTGTGATTTTTCTCGAGCTGCTTGATAGATTCTTGGGTGAGTTTGGTTTGTCCTGGTTCAGTCTGGGGGTTTAATAGTGTGATTATCCTAACGGTGTTCATTCCAGTCTGTTCCTCCTGTACAGTCTGTGCCTCTAAGGTGACACTGGTGCTCCTGAAATACTCTCCAGGTTGTTTAGTCATTGGCTTGTGCCCCCCTCCCCCTCCCACTGGGACCCCCTCCCACTGGGACCCCCTCCCACTGGGACCCCCTCCCACTGGGACCCCCTCCTGGGTGTAAGGGACCCGGGGGACTGGGCTGCACTGAAGCACGCACTGGTCATGTCCTGGGCCTCATGCCTGAATATTCAAGTGGTCCTCTTCTGACCCTCGTTTGTCCCTCCTGTGACCCTTTTCCTATGACCCTCCTCTGACCCTTCTCTGTCTCTCCTCTGTCCCTCCTCTGTCCCTCCTCTGTCCCTCCTCTGTCCTCCTCTCCCTCCTCTCTCCCTCCTCTCCCCTCTGTCCTCTCCTCTGTCCCTCTGTCCCTGTCTCTCTCCCTCCTCTGTCCCTCCTCTCCCTCCTCCTCTGTCCCTCCTCTCTCCCTCCTCTGTCCCTCTGTCCTCTCTCATCCTCCTCTCTCCTCCTCTGACTCCTCTGTCTGTCCCTCCTCTGACCCTCCTCTGTCCCTCCTCTGACCCTCCTCTGTCCCTCCTCTGACCCTCTGTCCCTCCTCTGACCCTCCTCTGTCCCTCCTCTGACCCTCCTCTGTCCCTCCTCTGACCCTATGTCCCTCCTCTGACCCTCCTCTGTCCCTCTCTGACCCTCCTCTGTCCCTCCTCTGACCCTCCTCTATCCCTCCTCTGACCCTCCTCTGTCCCTCCTCTGACCCTCCTCTGTCCCTCCTCTGATCCTGCTCTGATCCTGCTCTGTCCCTCCTCTGTCCCTCCTCTATCGCTCCTCTGTCCCTATGTCCCTCCTCTCTCCCTCCTCTGATCCTCTGTCCCTCCTCTATCCCTCCTCTGTCCCTCCTCTGTCCCTATGTCCCTCCTCTATCCCTCCTCTCTCCCTCCTCTGACCCTCCTCTATCCCTGCTCTATCCCTCAACTGTCCCTCTGTCCCTCCTCTATCCCTCCTCTCTCCCTCCTCTGACCCTCCTCTGTCCCTGCTCTGTCCCTCCTCTGTTCCTCCTCTGACCCTCTATCCCTCCTCTGTCCCTCCTCTGTCCCTCCTCTGTCCCTCCTCTGTCCCTCCTCTGTCCCTCTGTCCCTCCTCTGTCCCTCCTCTGTCCCTCCTCTGTCCCTGGAGCGTGGTGGAGTCAGCGTGAGTGTGTTGTGGAGCAGCAGGCTCACAGAGTGGAGTCGAGGGCAGCTGGCGGGGCACGTGTCTGGGGCTCTTTTGTTTATGTTCTGTCCCTCTGGCTTTTCCCTCTGGCGCTGCAACAGTAAAACTTGTATTTCCCGATGTGCAAAGTTTCCCCGTGATGATGTTAAATACAGTGTAACAGATACGCTTCCCTATAATATTTTGATGGGTTACAGATCTGACATCTACTGGTGAAAAATGCAGATGGTAGTTTTAATTGTTAGTTACTATGGAAACTATGGGTGTAACAATACTCAGATCTCTTTATATGATGTTTTCACGATGTGCATTTCATGGTTTGATGGTAATATGAATATGCTGCTTTTCCTTTTAGAATGTCTTGACAGTCCTGATGGGTTTCAGCTTTCGGAAACCATTTCAGAAATCGATACATAATAATTCAGTCAGAACTTCACCAGATTAGAATTAGACCAAACTAAATCTAAACCAGGACGTAAACAGGTCTTGTCCTGATTTTTGTGACTAGAAACTACAATTCTACATCAGATGCCTAACTTATTGCACCCTGATATAAATAAAGTCCTACCACGTGAAAGGTTATAGCGCACCATTAAGTTTGTTTTGAAATTAGAACGGCGCTGCATCGGAAATGCCATCCTGTTTTTCTGGCCCTCACTGACGCTGTCCCATGCCGCTCTTCACCCAGATACTCAAACACACGTGGACATGCTGCAGAATCTGACCCGCGCGTGGAACCTGGCAGGACACAGGGAACTTTCCATAGAGCGAGCGTGCCGGGGCGAGAATGCCGGGGCGAGAATGCCGGGGCGAGAATGCCGGGGCGAGAATGCCGGGGCGAGAATGCCGGGGCGAGCGTAGGATAAGGTCAACACGGTCCCCCTGTTTCATCAGAGCAGAGGAGCTAAACATGTGCTCGTCACTGTGCTCTTCACAGATATATGAGTCAGGTCGAGCTAAAGAAACTCCCATACTGTCGATATATGTGTGTGGAAATCTAATTCATGTTCTGTTTGATTCATTCATAATTTGGGATCATGCTGACAAAACAGTAGGACTGGGTATCATTAAGAAGTTGCCAATACAATACATACCTCGATACATAATAGGGATGGGCATTTGATGAAATTTTCTTAATCGATCGTCAGAAGAATTAACGATCGATTATCGATTAATCATTAACGTTTTTATATTAAAATGATCATCATTATTATTACTATCTGCACTACTAATCTGCATAAATAAATTCAACTTTACGACATGTAAACCGTAACCACTCTAGAGCCACATCAATCCATTTGAGATTATAATGTGTTTAATTCAGTTTTGTGCAACTCTCACAGAAACAAAACTTAAAACCACATCGTTAATTTGCATAAACTAAGCGAAGATAAAACTCCAGCTCTTGTGTTGCTGATGCGGTCAGTTTCTGTCGGAAAAAGACATGACTCAGGTGAATACAGGTTAGTGTGACCAGATTTGCGTTTGTCAAAACCAGGACACTGTACGGGGGGAGGGAGGTGGGGACTCGTCATCCACATTGCGCGACTCTCACCTGGTAAAACTTTTTCCCACTGGACACAGAAACA